TACAACAGCAAACCAAACAAAGAAACAAACGAAGCACAGATATTCCAAGATGCTGAGGTTATACAAGAGTCTATTTCAGCACTAAAAAAACCTCTCAAGCTCGCCAAGAGGATCGCTGCATCTCAGAGAGAAAAGCTTCCTGGACGAAAACTTCATAAGTAATTAGAAAAGAAAGAAATACAAGATGTCGTGTATAGCCTCAAAAATTTTATGGAAAAGAGATAAGAAGAATGGAGAACATTGGAGAATTTGCACAATTAGGAAATTTTCCCAACAAATTTAAAGCGGTGAGAACGCGATCCGCAATTCCGTGAGATACTCGCATTTTTAAAAGATTCTGAGTGGAAGATGGGTACGCAAAGATTAGAAGAATAATAATCAAAAAAGGATTGTTTGATTGTAAACCGTTCTTAAAAAAGATTGAAATTTACTAGGATAAAAGAGCGTTCGTTTCTTTATTTGCAGACTAAAACAATTGCAATCTGCAATGCTGCAAGTGCAGAATGCATTCTTTTGCGCGACCATGACAGCAAAATAGAGACATGTCTCTTACGCAGCAAAATGATGTGCTTAGCCAATTGAAGAAAACGAGAATGCTGGATGGCTGTGATAACATGGATATATTTTCCAGCTCTAGTCTTTTAGAATATAATTTCAATGAAAGAAGCTAAATTTCATGTAAAACAAGATAAAGACATGATCGTTTATTAAAATCACCAATGTTCTTGTTCATACCATATGGAAAATCAAGAAACAACACTTGACCACCGCGAAAACGAAAGCAATTCTTTTTTGCCCTCGAATTTTTCGAGTCGTTTCGAAATTCATCGCGGAAAAGAAATTAGGGATAGTGTGATGGTATGGAAAGGATTTTGAGTAAATTGAAGATCTTCTTACGATAATTATTTGCTCTAAGAGTAGAACGACACACAAAGAAAGATGATTAGTGGACTTGGCCGCCTCGATTTGTCTTCTTATAGTACACCTAGCTTGAGCGATTTACTACGGGTATGCAATCAGACGGTCAATATGATGCAAGATGGATATGCAAAGAAATAGAAGTACAATAATGACGAGTTATAATGAGCAAACATCCACGAAGAATCAGTTCGTAAGTAGAAGGAAATTCAAGGAAACAGGAAACGAAAAGATGCCTGATTCGAAAGCTAGTAATTTGAAGTTACTGAAACAAACAATTTTTCCAGCTTAACGCTCGCCCTGGTTATCGCTAAATCACTGTGTACATCATGAAACTCGGTTTATAAGTTGCAGAAGAGTATAATAAATT